TTGCACATTACATTAATATCCAGGCAGGCTCATATATGGGAGCAGATGGTCCTTTGGTTATTGAGACATGCATCCCTGGTGCTTTGCTAACATGGTTTTAGGATGGTTTAATGAATTCATACTATAAGAATCTTCATGCCATGGAAAATACAGTATAGGATTTCCAGACCATGAAGGTGTTCTAAACAAAAGAATCTCAAGATGTAATCTCTAAAGAATGGCAGAGGCCTTAAAAGCATGCTATTGTTGTTACATGCCATCAAGTTGCCTCTTATGGTGACCTTATGAATGTGTGGCCTCCAAAATGCCCTGTCCTCAGCAGCCTTGTTTGGTCCTTGTAAAATCAAGACTATGGCTTCAGAGGGAGTCAATACATTTCCTATCTGACCTTCTTCATTTCCTACTGCCTTCAACTTTTCCTACAATTATTGTCTTCTACAGCGGGTTTTGCCTTCTCATGATGTGCCCAAAGCAATTCAGTCTCAGTTTCATCATTTTTATTTCCAGAGAAAGTTCAGCTGTACTCAAATGCATAGTGTAGGAAAATTCTGCAGCTTTTGACTTTTTTGACTTAACTCCTTATCACGGCATGTGTTTTACACATTTGGCTTTGATCCCATTCATACTTTATTCTTTGCTTTGCTGCTTCTACATCACAAAAGTAATCACTTGTCTGGAAAAGCTGGTATGGTTGTGCACAGTACGTTTCAATAGTTACAATGATATCAACACAGATTGTACATAGCTATGTATGCACAAACAAATGCACATATGGTATCTTGCAAAACAGCACTTGTACCTTTGCTTTTCATTTGCTATCCCCCTACAGAGGTAACATAACAGCTCCTTACTGTTAAAGTTGTCAAATTCCATTCAAATATATGTTGTAAGAAAGCCAGGTACAAAAGAAAAAGTGGCATATGTAACTGGAGCTGGCTTCCAGAGCTGTGTTGAAGGTACAAACTCTTATTTTTAAAAATGGCTTGATGTGTCAGATGTGGAAACTACAAGACTGAAAACTTCATAAGTATTTCTTAGTTGTATACACATTTTTAAAAGTGGGTTCTTTGGATCACAGCAAATATTAGCTGTGAAATGTTACAGAACACTGCTTTTATTAATTGAATGTTATACTGTATTCAGAATGAAAACTTGCTACACTTTCATTAGATATCCCATCTTCAAAATTGTTCATCTTGAGGGAGAGACAAAATTAAGTTGCCAAACCACTAGAAACCTAAAATGACTGGACAGAGGCTATCATGCTTTGGTCGTATCAGTCAGACTCACACTGGTTAGATATATCGGTGTAATTGTGATGGTGTTAATTGCAGCGGCATATTACTGCTGGTTAACAAGAGACTTACGTCCCTCTTTGTCAGCCACATTAGTTGGCACACAATGAAGGACACAAGTGACAATATGTTAACTAGCAGCAATTTGCAGCTGGAATCTACATCACTATACATACACTGCTATAACTGACTAGTAGGATTCTGGCTGTCACAAGAAGACAAAAGATAGTGATGGTAGGAAAGGTTGAAGGCAGTAGGAAATGAGGAAGACCAAATATGTGGTGGATTGGCTCAAAAAATGAAGCCATTGCTTTAAGTTTGCAGACTTGAGCAGCATTGTTAATGATAAGACCATTTGAATGTCCTTGATTCATCAAGTTGCCATAAATCAGAAGCAATTAAACAAAGCAATCTGTCCTCAAATTCCTCAAACAAGTGAGTAGATTTTAAATCAGCCAAACAACTTGCTCCAGATTAGGCATACCTATATAAATTCATTTTTGTCATTGGTATTTTACAGAATAGTGCTACTTTTTTAAAAAGATGTTTTAAGAACTGGCTGAGTTTTTTTAATTGCTTCTGAACATTTAATTCCTTAATTTATAGTGCATGTTAATTTTGTGAGTGAGTTCTCTTCCTCTGCAGCAAACCTTATGTTGCCATTCAAATCTATTGGAGACAAATCAGTTTCTTTATGCAGCGGTATGTGTTTTAAGATGATAGATCTTTCCCATTATTATATGCGGCTTCCCTTCTCTTCCTGTACAAGAGCTCCCTCTGCTTGAAAATTGTAGTGTAGTTTTAACCTTTTATTAAATGAACTCATTATTGTATCCAGTGAATATCAATATACTTCGTTTTTCCACGGTTTACTTATATTGTTGTCACTTTGATTTGTTTGTTTTGTAGTAACTGACTGACATCAGAATTTTGATTCTTGTCTTTGCCTTTAACTCAAAAATAATAACTTTTAAATGGTCACTTCTATTCAGATGGTTTTCTTGGAAAGGCATGTTAAAACATTTGTTACAGAAAATGTGCCATGGCATATATCATAGTTTTTCTATTTATCAAAGACTGAGGCCAGTGTTCTAACTGGTATAGCGGCCGGGTCATGTAAAGACGAGAGTTATTTAGCAATCATCCCACAGTAGCTGAAGTCAGGAAAGCAATAGCTGAATCTACAGGGATATCAAGATACCTAAACATGGAGGTTTTGTATTTCTCAACATAATCTTTGCTTGAGAAACTTGCAATCTCTCTAAAGCCAAATCTTTGGTTGGGCCGTGAGTTACATTGTGATGTCTTATCTACTGCAATTTACTTTCTAAAAGGATAAATGCCCAGGGCTAGAGTTCCGTTAGAACATTACTCCAGAGTAAGCAAAATTTGTTGTTGCCAATTGCTGCTGACAAGGTGCCAGCTGTGTGCCTGCTTAGCTGCCAATCTTGTGACCAAACATGTAACCAATACCTTGTTGTGTAGCTACAATTCAATGCTGCAACCTACATGATTGGACATACTTGGGAGTAAAATCTTATACTATTCTGGACACTGTTTAATGAATTGGGAGCACAAATCAAGCAGGATATGGAGGTATCAAAGGAGTGAGTTAATTGTAAAGTGTCTGGAATACTTTTATACAGCAAATCAAGCAGGATATGGAGGTATCAAAGAAGTGAGTTAATTGTCTGGAATCCTTTTATAGGTTGATGAGACTTTTCCATGTCATCTGCCCTTATAGTAATGTAGGAGAATGTGGTTTCCTTTTCTGTTAATAAACTTTTAATCCTAAATATTGTTCCTTGATACTGGAGTTACATGTTGCAGTGCTGCCAACTTCTGAAAGCTTATCTCTGCTTTTATCCCGATGGGTAATGTGCAGTGGCAATAAAGGTATGAAAATAGTGGTGTTATTTTTTTAAACCTTCCTTGGGTAAGATTACCTTTTGATTGAATCTGTTTGATCCTGGAATCTGCTTCTCAGTGGACAACTGAGACCTGTGCTCAGTTGTCAACACACCCAACACCCTACAGGGACATATTCTTTAAGCAACATCACATACCATGTAGGACCTAACTGCATGGCCCTGCATGATATATGATTTTGTTAGTGCTTATGGTTTTCCTAGGGATCCAGTTAAGGTTTAGAACTGACCGAGAGAAGGTAGTTTGCTTTGTTCATGAGAAAGTTTGAAGTTGATTGTTCACTTTATTTAGTGGCATGGCAACTTGGTTTTAAAAAAAATTCTTTCCCCCTTTCTAAAGCAGACTTCATTGTCTTTTGAGTTCTTACATTACAAAATTCGAAGACATTATTGGAAGAGAGAAGGGGGAAAGTCCCTTTAAAGCAAAAAGTCATGGCTGAAGCTGTTCTTCTCAATGCATGTGCATTCAGTCTACAAGTTAACCTCTATCATCACTCAGAACATGGAAACGAATGCATCCTTATTGTTCCATAACATCCACTGCAAGTAAACGCAGTAGCATCCTCCCATTAGACCTCCACTCCCTGGATATGAAATCACTAGTGATATGGAAAAACTGAAATGAAAGAGGCTTTTGTGATTTCTGTATTGCAAACAGCAGGGCAACCTTAACTAGATCTACATGTTTCTTGCTAGTCTCATCCACTTGATTCAGATTTGAGGAAAGGAAATCTTGTATTAAAGGGCTTAATCCAATGTAAGCAGAATTCTTCCTCCCCCCCACACCCTTTTCTCTCTTTAAATGATCAAAAAGTGGAGCACACGTCTTATGTTTAAATGAGGTTGAGAAGTATGAGGCAGGTTTCAATGTACCCATGTTTTGAGTGGGGAAGGGTTGATCTATCCTTTGAATGTCTTTTTTGTGTGGTTTACTGCATGTCTTTCTCTCTTTGGGGAATACTGGAGAAAGGCCTTCACCCTTCCTTCCTTTGGCTAGTAGTCTTCTAGTGACTAGTCAACAATGTTGGTGAGATAGAAGGCCTCAGAGTAGGTAAACAAGGGATGTCATGTGGAGGAAGGAGAAATAAATCAAATGGGCATGTTCTCTCCATGTGGCACTCACTTCCCTCCCTCTGCCCATTCTTGACGGTGGTGAAATGCCTCTTGGACAACGAAGCCACAAGTTAATGAAGTGGAAAGCGCAGCTGCTTTGGACCCATTTGAATAAGTGAAAATAGAAATGTTTAGTTTTTTTTTAAATCAGCCAGCTTTGTAATGTTGTAAGTAGTGCATTTAGTAGACTGCAAATAAAATATTAATTGGAATGCATTCAGAAGGTAGCTTCTCAAGGTGTGTGACTCAGCCCCTGCCATCTACATACGTTAGAGCTGGGCAGTCTTGGATTCTTCTCAGCCCTTTTTGTTCATGTCACATTTGTGAACATGGGTAAAACTGGACAACCATAACACCTTGTGTTTCTTAATTGCATGAGAGTTATACTTCATACCTTAAACTGTGAAAGACTGCAGGGTTTCTTTTATTGTGATGTTTGCAAGGTACATTGTTAACTGCTGAATAGCTTTAGCAGAATTAAGGTGATACCATGATTAGTTCCTTTTTGGTTATATCCAAGTTTTGTTACTGAAGCGTATGTGCGGTGATATTAGCCTCTATGCATTTTCTACTCTCCCTCTTCTTCCTTCTATGCCATTCATAGCTAAGAAAATGGTTTCCTTGGAGGATTTTAGAAATACTCTTTTTTTGGCTTATTTTGCAGGATCCATTAGAGCCAACAAAGGCTGCATTTGTAGTTAGCTCTCTGGTACCAAATGGAGTGGCTGAACGGGGTGGTGAACTTTTCCCTGGTGATCGCTTGGTCTTCGTAAATGACACATGTTTGCACAATATGACTCTAGGAGAAGCTGTAGAAGTGTTGAAATCAGTACCACCAGGAAACGTTAACCTTGGAATCTGCAAGCCTTTGACAGTAAGGAATATTTGTCTTCTATTCTGTATGGTATATTTTTCAGTTCAATTAATTTTTTAAGGTGTTTTAGGTTCACCTACATTTTTGTTTCCTATATATTTCAGTTTATATCCAGCCACTCGCCCTACAGAATTCAAGTGTGTTATAGAGGTTCTTTTAAAACTTGAAACAAAATTAAAACAGTGATTTTGAAAACAGAATGGCATCCATGAGTGATAAGAATAACAAAAGCAGTGAAACCTATTAAAATTTTACCTAAATGAGAAAGTCTCTACCGACCTCATTAGAAAATGGAAGATGCTACTATTGAGAAGTTTCTGTTCAGTGATGCCACAGTGTTCTCAATCAGATATTGCCAACATTTTGTCTGTATTCAGGCATGATCACTGGCAAGCTTGTTTGATACCTTCCTTCCTTTCAGTGGGAGGGTGGGGGAGAGGAAGGAGAATGGTTTATCTATATTGCATGCACTCTGGCCCAATTCTCTGGAGTTACTTAACATGAATTTATACAGAATACATTATTCTGCATAGGGTATGTACATGAACTCCTGTTTTGCTGTTGCAACACATAGGCATTATACAAGCATTCAGTCTAAAAGTCTGGACACCTAAATTTGTGACGGGGATATATGGATGTAGGCAGATCCCTCCCTTTTCACCTCCCATACCACCTAGAAGTAAGGGATACTGTAATGCATTTGTCATAAACATCTGATTGGGAATGCAAAGCTCCTTGTCATAACAATGCAGAGAACATATGAAGTTAAATGCAATTACAAGTGAACATACTATGCCATCTTCTGAGTGGTGTGATGTGGGAAGATGTGGATGATGTTTGCATGCCATTGCCACTCTCACCCTAAGTATAGCCCTCACCACTTTCAGTCTTAATGCCTAATGCTAATCTGCTTGAGATCTGCTTGAGTCTACCTTGCTGTATAAGCACTGTAGATGGTTTCAATCATTCCCCAGTTCTTTGGTTGTGAGTTCTTCAGCTATAAGACAGTTTATGAAATATATAAATGATTAGAGTATGAATGATTGACTCTAGGGTTGGCTGCATTTAATGTTCTGCAATTGTCATATTGTTTGGTGAGTGATGGAGATTTATCCTGCTTAAGGCATTAGAATACAAATGCTATTTCACTTTTTATTATAATACTTAAAGTATATTTAAAATTATCCTCTTGCAATGTTTTTTTCTATTCAAGAGGTTCAGAGGCTCAGAGCAAGGTTCAAAGCTTGGAAGTAACCAGTTATAGTAATATATAGTTATCTATAATATTTGTAATGAACAATGTAACCGTTACAACGTTACCTTTTAGGTATGTTACTTAGATGTAACAAGGAACACATACAGTAGTTACTTTCCAAAGTCAATTTTTAAGGATGTTAGAAGGCATTTTTAGAAGTGTATTGACTGGCATCTTTCAAATTTTATTGCATTCAATTATCAGTCCTAAGTAGTAAGGTAAGTATTCTTTAGTTGTGTTTCTTTATTTGTATTTTTATATGTATTTTCAAGGTTCCATATGATTTCCCTATGTTTTCCTGGCCTGTTGGTGATTACATTGTGGCACATTAATAACTCACAAAGCAATGAATTACTTGGTGGTCGCAGAAATGATAACAATAATGGCAACATGGCTGCAGAGAAGTAGGCAATAAATTCTTTTTAAAATGAGTCTGAGTTCTAATCTATACCTGTTTAGTTTTTGCAATGCTGCAGCATAAAGTTTTCCCACATCATTTCCTGGTTCTCAAGACTTTAAAACATTTCACTGAAAAGTTAGAGCTATATTCTTCTAGAAATATTCTGCTTAGGCTAGTAGAATACATGAAGGATGATGAGACTGGAAACTGCCCTGTTGTTTTCACTAACTTCATGTATATAAGAACTTAGCAAAAGTAAGCCATAGTGGAGGAAATAAAATTAGTATAATGTAAAGGTTTTAGTATAATTTTTATTCTGCCCATATGTTTGGCTTATTGTTCCTCGCTATTCTCTTCACATTTCACAAATTTTTTTTGGAATCCATATTCCCACACACACATACACACACTTTATCACTTGGGCTTATATCCTTCTGGTTTACTTTCTGCATTCTGCGTCAGTTCCTTTCCAAATGCACCCTCCCATGAATTAGTTTCTTGCCATTCTTTGTGCTTAAAAAAGTGCAGTTTTGCTAGTTTCCTGATGAAGGTTTGTTTATTCTTTAAGGGAGAAAATAAACAATATGAGGCTTCCTCTGCCACGAATCCTAAGAGTTCTGCAGGATGTTCTGTGTCTCAAGAGCCAGTCAAAAATATCGAGTCATCAATATTCCTCGATTTCTGTTGATCTTCGTTTTTGTTACATTTAAAGTTGTGGTGATGCCGTGCAGACATGGGGACGAATATAAAAATGAATCAGGATATTCAACAAATATCCCTGATTCATCAGATATTCATTGCTTCATATTCTTGGAGTCCAGAGACCCCGATGAATACGAAACAACAAATATAACCCTTTTATATTTCTCCCTTCATTCCCTATCTGGTTATGCCCCCGCAGATCAGCTGTTCCTCGGGGACATAAGCAGAGAGGGATTTTCCCTTTTCGTGGCTTGCTAAAGCCAGCCAAAGGGAAACCTACCCCCGGAGCTGGGGGATGGTTTGGATCCGGCTTTTACTCTCTTTCTATGCCCCACGGAGGCATAGGAAGAGGGGGAAAGGGATCAAAGCAATCTCCTGGCTCAGCTGCCCTTGTAAAAGCAGTGGGGCTGGAGCCTCGTGGCGCAGTGGTTAAAACGCTGTACTGCAGCTAAAACTGTGCTCATGACCTGGGGTTCAAATCCCAGGTAGCCGGCTCAAGGTTGACTCAGCCTTCCATCCTTCCGAGGTCGGTAAAATGAGTACCCAGCTTGCTGGGGGGGGCAATGTGTAGCCTGTATAATTAAAAATTGTAAACCGCCCGGAGAGTGCTTGTAGCGCTATGGGGCGGTATATAAGTCCAATAAATAAATAAATAAAAGTCCAATAAATAAAATGGCTGGTCAGGCTTTCCCCCTCTTTCTATGCCCCAATGGAGCAGGGGGCTCCCCTGATCCCTTTCCCTCTCTTCCTATGCCACCACTGGGGCATAGAAAGAGGGGGAAAGCCCCACCGAAGCTATTCCCCATCCCCACTGCATTTGCAAAGGCAGTGGAGTCAGGGGATTGCTTTGATTACTTCCCCCTTCTTCCTATGCGGTATAGGAAAGCTGTGGAGGCCAGAGATTTATTTTTATTTTTTAAAGATAGCCTCAGGGGTTGTTTTTTTAAAAATATGACCTGATGAACCAACAAATTGATTCATGGTTCATTGGGCCACTGAGGGGGACAATTTGTGGTTCAAACTTGACAACCCACGACAAAGCGCCATTTTGGTGCTTCGTCCCCATCTCTAGTGCTGAGATTTCAAGTGAAATGGAGGTTAATATTTCAGTCTGGCTATATTAGTTTTTCTTCTGTTGTCCTCCATCCCAAAACTTAGTTTTTCACCAGAACATTTTGGTGCTTTGTCCCCATCTCTAGTGCTGAGATTTCAAGGGAAATGGAGGTTAATATTTCAGTCTGGCTATATTAGTTTTTCCTCTTCAGATCTGTTGTCCTCCATCCCAAAACTTAGTTTTTCACCAGAAATGAGGAAAATGTGTAGTGTTTCCATTGGATGAGAAAAGTGACATAAAATTGAAATGCACAGTTTTTGCCTTCTTTCTTTTTAATATATGATGCTCAGTTTCTGGGGGCAGTAGAGGCACTTTATCACTGCTGATGAGAGTGTCACTGTGTCCTCTGGGGATAGTGGAGGTCACTTCTGCCCTCTTCCCATGTAAGGGGCCTGTGAAAATATCCCTGTTGTTAGCCTGAACTGGCTTTTGAAACTGTTCGATCAGTAGAAGAAGTGAAGCTCTGAAATTGTACTTCTCTATAAGCGAAGACCTTTATGAGCTCATTTAAAGTAGCAGCTTTACTTATCTGATGCCATGGAATAGTTTTATTGAATTAATTCTTTAAGAAAAGAGAGGGTCTTTCAGACTGTCTAAGATGTTCTGAGGACATACCTTTCAGAAAGCAAAAGTTTCTTGCCCTGCATGTGTGTTTTTAAAGGGATATTGTATTTTGCTCAGGACTTCAGGGATGTATCTTTCTCTAAAGAAGAACTTGTTGATGAACCTATCCTGAATTTTGGGAGGCAGTTTCAACTTGCTGAGAATGAATCAGATGTTGATAAGGAGTCATGGGAAATGCATGAATTTTTGAAACCAGGAGAGGAAGATATTGATGAAGAACGAGAGATGCTAGTAGATGAAGAGTATGATGTGGACCAGGAGTGTGGCAGATATATACCATTAGACGTGGAGGGCCCTGCTCCATTTGCTGAGATGGACTTGGAAACTGCAAGGCAATGGGCAGAAGAACTGAAGCCTCCTGAAACGGCTGAAGGGAGTTTTGCAATTGGCCCTAAAGCTGAAGAGGTACATAACTACATATTCAGTCAAGAGAAAAAGAAAAACTTATTTTAATGGGAAGTAAAATGGTGGGATGTCACTTATTTACCACAGATACTGTATAGTTGTTTTTATTGTATTGACAAGCACCCATATCTAAATAGTATGGTTGTATTCAGATAAAGAGAATTGAGACACTGGATTCAATACAAATAGTGCTCAAAGCATAAACCAAGACAGCAGAAAGCAGCAGTAACTGAATTTGGAAAGCAGGGTTTAGTTAACAGCTAGTTTACATTCATTTTAGCAAGTTATTAGTTTAAGTCTTAAATTGTTTCAGCTTCTTTCTAGCAATACAGAGCAATGTCATGGGTTTTCAGTTTTGAATTGGCTTTATGTTTCTCTTGTTTTCTGAAGAGTGAAGAAAATACTACCACTTGTTCAATGTTCCTTGGAGCATCGGAGAACTACAGTTGGCCTAACAAAATATTGGAAGGTAAGTGAAATGGGTAAAGGGCAATTTAGTTGTTCCAAAGCACATATGAAAATTACATTGATATAGGGAGTGTGTGTGTGTGTGTGGGGGTTCATTTGAGAGCTTAGCTGAGACCAGGTTGTAAGTGTTGAAGGGAATCAGCCAGGGAATGCACCTGGAAGCAATGACTAATTTGCCCCATATAAGTTTGGCTCCTCTGCCAAATCAGTGCAGGTAGCAACTGTTGTTTTTGGATGCTATTGTTTGGGGACTGCTTTGTGAAATCTTCTGGATGTCTCTTAACCATCAAACCAGACCTTGATGGGTGTGATTCACAACAAAGTACATTAATTCCATCCCTTCTGGTTTTGGTTAATCCATCTTTCTTGGTTGTGGCATGACCAAGAACAGTGAGACTTTTAATAAGTATGGCTGAGTCCTGGGATGCCTTTGTTTGTTTGTTTGTTTTCTTTCATTTTTCCAAGCTTGTTTTTAAAATTTCAAATGCTTTTTAATTAATTAACTGATTTGTTATTGTAAGTTTAATAGTTTTTTATCTGTAATTTGTTGTGTTTTAATATTACTTGTTTAACAATGTGAACTGCCTTGGGTCCCCTTAACTGGCCAATTTTTTTTTAAAAAAATTAAAAGATAAAAAATAATTTAAAATCAAATCAAATTGATAAAATTTCCCAAAAAAAGTTTAAATATATAGATGAAGAAACAGTGACTGGCAATTATTGGTGATTTGTTTGTGATTCCACCACATCAGCTTACATTTTAAAAATCCATACTTGCATGCTTTGTTTTATGTATAGTGTCCAAATGATTATTAAAGAATTCTGAATTCTTGGCAGGTGTTGGAGGGGAGGAAAATAGAAAGTTTAAGTAAGGCATAAGATCCTCATCAAGCTGAATTTGTGGCTGGAAATGTCTAGATGTTTTTAAATTTTCCTCTTCAGCTCAGAGAGCTACAGTAGAGAGAAAAAGAAGGAGTTAAAGCACTTCAGTTTATTAAGAGTCTGAATTGTAAGCTGTTAAATGGGTAATTAGAAAACAAACCAAGATTTTCAGATGCTTCTTAGTCCTGTAAGTGCTTTTTTGAGCCAACTAGTGCTATGTCATGTTTAGCAGCCGTAGTGGTAAATTCAGGATGTAACTGCATCAAAATTAATACTGCTTTTACGTGCCATGTAAAGATTTACATGTCATGGGGCAGAAACAGCTATTCAACCGGCCAGGGTTGGCCCAAATCAATTGAGTTCTCCCTGCTGCTCCTGTAATACGTTGGTTTTGTGGAGTCCTGTATTTTGTCTGCTCTATTGTACATCACTGGCTCCGACTGGCAGGAATGATCAGGGAAATGGCATTCATGAGTCCCAAAATAGTATAAGGAGGGGAAAGGAGTTGTGAAAACCATCCATCCCTGAACAGTGGTAGGATGATGGCAAAACATAATCCTACTGCTGCTTAGTGATGGATGACTTCAATGTGTCATTATATTCATTCATCTTAAAGGTAGCTTTCTAACCTTTGGAAGGAAGAAAATGGCACTGTTATTTTCAGTGGCATTGTGGAGGCTCTGGGAGCAAGACATAAATGTCTTGCTTCCAGACATGAGTTTCCTAATTCTTATTCTATGTAGGTCTAATGTGTGCGCTGTTTTATACCAAATTCATTATCACAAAACTATATGTATTGTTTATCTGACATGCATTGCCCCTTCTTAGATAGCTATTTGCATAGCAAAATCTCAACACCATGGAACAATAACTCACCTTTAATTCCAAGGTGCCAAGATGGAAAATGACCATGAAAATTCTCTGTACACTGATGATGATCCTGAAAAATATAAACTGAAGACTGAAGACAGTGGTCACAGCGACACTCAAGAGACTGCTCTGCTTAGAGTAGGGGTGTCCAGGTATGCAAAAACTGTTTACAGAATATTTTGTATTTTTCTGGAACTATAGTAGGTTATGAGGTAGAACTGTTTCCTCACATGTCTTTAGCCTTATTGAGGAATTTTTACCCTTTTTGATAAGAAAGCCAGAGTTTCTTACATTTTCCTAGATGTTTTACTCTATTGTTCAAAGCCAGACTGCTAACATATCAACAGCAAATATATCATAATTATTAATCAATAAAGTTACTAAACAGTGTCCACTAGGCATTAACTGGAGATAAATATATGTGAAGATGGCCTATATGTCCTAGTAGTATGTGTGAACTTTAGTTTTGCATCTTGCCTCAGTCAAGGGGTTGAAACTATGTGCTGCAAGGTCCACGTGTCCCTTTTCTACTTGCAGACTGGTTTACTGGCTATGAGACCTATGAAGAATTCTCCCCTCCCCAAAAGAAAATATTTTGTGGTAAATGTAAAAAATCTGAAACAGAAAAATCACACTTTGAAGAGGCACACTTCTCCTCTACAATAAATTGTACTACCAACACTTTTTAATTTACAAATACATACTGGTTTTTCACAATTGGAAATTGTTTTTCTAAACCAGATTTGATCTTCTAGTTCCTCCTGATATCACTGGAGAGGTAGGTAGTGTGACACTTGGAAGAAGTAACACCTAAGAAAATAGCCCCAAGGCCCTGGGAGCTTCAGAAAAATGCAGACTTGACATCTACATTCTTGGTTAAAACCTTGCATATCCCATGAGGACAGCTGAAATGTATTTCTGTTTTATTTAGTGAGTTGCCAGAGAGAGAAGAAGGAGAAGGAGAAGAAACTCCAATTTTCAGTCATTGGGAACCCCCCCAAATGTAAGTTGGCAAGTGTTTCAATATTTCTTTTGCCTCAGATATTATTTGAGGCTGTGAGGCATGAAGTATACACTGATCTGCTTTATCTTTCATCTTTTTGCTGGACACTGTTTATTTGACCATTTGTTTTCTACCATGCTGGAATTGCACTGAGTAGTTATGAATTCTTTTACTTTACACTGCACAAAGACAATGAATGCTTAGCGGATGATCTGTTGAAGGAACTTATAACTTGCTAGTTTCCCACTCTGTTTGAGGTATGTAGTTCAGTATTGCTGGTTCATGCATTCCTGCATAGATCTGCTTGTACTGTGTGCATTCTAAATTTATGGGCATCTCTCATAAATTTAGGTAGGGCAACTTTATACTGAGAAGCTATAACTGAAATCCTGTTACCAGACGTTATGCTGCGTAAGGCTGATGACCTCATTAGGTGTGGTGATTTTTTCTGAAATCAAGGATCTCTATTTCCACTCCCCTCCCTGACTCCCTGCCCAAAGGTCCTGTGGATCCCTTCATATCTCTTTCATTATGGAGAAGTTTATTTATTTATTAAATTCATACCCCGCCCAATTAGACAATTCTACTCTGGGGGCAAAGGGATAGAGGGGAAGTCTTTCATTTCTAAAACTTGCTGCCAGCAGTTAAATCTTCCTGGCAGCAGCAGGATTCTCCCCCCCCCCGCCCCGCCCAAATGGTTTCTCCATAATGAATTGGATCCGAAAGGAGCCTTGTGACTTGGGGTGGGTGTCAATCGGAAGTCTTTAATTTTGAAAAACCACTGCAGATGATGACATTCACCCTCTTTATGTTGTGTTAAGTTGCACAAAAAGTATTTGAGCCTGTACGCATTCAAGTGTCTGCTTCAAATAATTATCCTACAAAGTGCCATTTTCAGAAACACACTGTTTTTTACTCTTAAACATTCACTTAATAATGAACTTGGGTTTTTTTTCCCTTCAATATTTGCAAAATGGCTTTCTATCAGACGCCTTAGGGCAGTGTTCATCTGAAAGAATTACTGACCCAGAAATATTTAAACAAAGAAATATTTAAAATAGCTTACATTCAATGACTACATTGAGACAGAGGCATACATGCGCATTAGCATGTGCTCATTGGAATAATTTGCCAGTCTGCCCGTTAAACTTGCAAAATGGTAGAAGGCTGTAAAACTCTGAGGACCTGGTGGGATGAATTTTTGAAACAGAAATGGGCAGGAAAAAGAGTCGGCATTGGGTTCTGATACACAAGTATGTCTGAATTGGAGCCAATTTATTTAAGTTAGCAAAAACGGGTGCATTATTTTCATAAATCATTTAATTTTCTATCCCTATTGTTTGCCAGTGTTTCATGAAATAAAATTTGCCTGTCAGCTGATCAATTGATTTTACCTGAATGTTGAATGCTGAGTTCTAGGGAAAGGCAGACAGAATAAACTCAAAGGATATACATGCTGCTATGTAAATGTTAAACTATTTGATGAAAACTGGACAGCAGTTTTCTTTCCTGTCTTCCTCACACATGTTCTGCATGCTGGATGCATCTTAACTCTCCTCCTCCTTGTATTCTCCAAGTGTAGCTATTGACAGCCTTATTTTCTGTTAATTTGTTTGCATTGTTCTTGGGACCAATGCACAGTGCAATGATACTCATACTGGTGGGACAAAAAACAACAACAACAACAACCCAAAGTTCAAATAAGGGAAAAGGATAAAAGTCAACAGGAAATTGCAAAACATTCTTATTCCAGTTGGCATTTCACTAATTTGCTGTTTTGTGAGGAAAAAGTAATTGCTTTGGGAATCTTTTTTTTTCTGCTACAAGTTAATTTAATATAGGCTTTTAATTCCAGCACAACACTTTATTATGTTCTCCTGTGCTGATATTTTTATGGATTGACTCTTTGCTATATATCACCAACTTGAAAGCAATGTACCCTGAAAGGCAGGTTAGAAATTCATTGAATAAATAAGTAAACAGTTATGGTGTGGGTATTACTTTCATACAGATGATGATGAGTAGAAGGGCATAACAATTAGTTAAACAGACAAAAAGATAGATAGGGAAAGCCACTGGATAGAGTGGATAGAAGAGATGATTTCAAATCCTTGCATGGCCATGGAAATTTAATGGGGGCGACAATGGTAAACCACTCCCTGAACAACACTCATACCTTGAAACCCCTATTAGGGTCCCTGTACATTGAAAGCAACTTGATGGCATGTAGCAACAACAAATGACTCCAAGCTAAACCTTGGATTAAAGACAGACCTACTTAATACAAAGTGAGAGAATACTACTTAGACACCCTGAACATATTAGAAAGCAGGTGGGATGGAAAGAAACATTGAGGCATGGCAATCTCTTGATACAAACTCAATGAAGAATTAAAAAAATATTGTGAGTGGTGTTGTCTTAAATTTCAATATGAAATGATGTCCAATACATTTTTAAAATCCTAATAGGACATAGTTTGCAGGACTGTGTAGACCTTTGGGTGTCATCTAGCCATTCTCATCTGTAATTTCCTCATGATGTGGTATTATTGAACTGGTGTCTATACAGTGAATACAAACTCAATGAAGAATTAAAAAAATATTGTGAGTGGTGTTGTCTTAAATTTCAATATGAAATGATGTCCAATACATTTTTAAAATCCTAATAGGACATAGTTTGCAGGACTGTGTAGACCTTTGGGTGTCATCTAGCCATTCTCATCTGTAATTTCCTCATGATGTGTTATTATTGAACTGTTGTCTATACAGTGATGCCTCGAATTACAACCATAATCCGTTCCAGAAGACGGACATATCTCGAAATGGTTGTAAGTCGAAGCACCATTTCCCATTGAAATGCACTGGAACGCAATTAATCCATTCCGGCTGAAAAAAAGCCCAAATAATTCCATACAGTGATGCCTCGCAAGATGAATGCCTCACACAATGAAAAACTCGCAAGACAAAAGCGTTTTGTGATTTATTTATTTTTTTGGTGACTCGCAAGATGAATTTTTCTATGGCCGTGCTTCGCAAGATGAAAATTTCGCAATATGACATGACTCGCGGAATTAATTGATTTCGTCTTGCGAGGTATCACTGTAAATAAAGCACACAGCAAGCCCCATCGGAAGGCGCTGGGGCTTTAAAAATAACCCAAACCCAAAAAATAAACAACAGAGCAAGCCCCATCAGAAGGCGCTGGGGCTGCAAAAAACCCCACCAAAAAACAAAACAACAACACAGCACAGAAACATGATCCCCGCAGCCCAAACCCACCCTGCAAAACCCACCCAGAACAGGCAGCTTTTTAAAAGCAGAAAGCACCTTACCTTACCAGGCAGTCCAAAGCCTCCCTGTAAACAAACACACACTCACTCAGAAGCAGAAGCCAGGCTGCCCAAAGCCGCCTCCAGTCACACACACACTAACCTTCGGGGTGAAAGAGTTACAAAGAAACAGCCTCTTAGCCTACCAATGATTAGCAATTTGAATTCCCCCCCTTCCCCCCCCCCCGCTTTTTTAAAATCATAACTGGAAGCTCTGGCTGCAAGTTGAAGCAAAATTTTGCAGCCGGAACTGGTCGTAACTCGAAATGGTCAAAAGTCAGGATGTTCATAAGTCAAGGCACCACTGTAGTTGTTATTTTCATCAGTCTTTTGTAGTGCACAGGGGGTTGATGATGTATACATCTCATCTAATATAAGCCTTTTGGAAGTATTAGATTTGTGAATATCCTGCTTTGCTTGTTTCATTAAAAGTGTTAGTTAGTTTCTACCCTGCAGTTCCCATTAGGTTGCAACACATAATTTGCTTTTCGGTTAGAAAGGCTTTTACATTTTACAAAGCGCAATGTGTTTAGACTACTATCAGGATCACAGAGTTAAATAAAATGCATATAACTGAAACTTCTTGCATTTAAACTATTGCATTTCTCTCTATAGTATTGAAATTTTTAGAGAGCCGCATGAGGCTCTCGGCATCAGTATTGTTGGTGGGCATACAGTTATAAAGCGCTTGAAGAATGGAGAGGAGCTTAAAGGTATCTTCATCAAGCAAGTTCTGGAAGACAGCCCAGCAGGAAGAACAAAAGTACTCAAGACTGGAGATAAAATTCTTGAGGTAAACTGAAGTACTTGAGGTAAACTTTAAAGAATGTAGTTTTCTTGCATCTGCCAAACCAGGGGAGGTAAGCATCCTGTTTGGAAAGCAAAGCCATTGACTTCATATAAACATTTGTAGAATGACTTCGGTGCTAGCACTGGTATGTATGTATTTGAGAAGAGCAAATAGATAGCCATGATGGCACATTGCTTAGTATTGGACTGGGACTTGGGACATTTGAGGTCCATAAAACTCACAGGTCAGTCATTTCCACCTCCTCCATATGCCTTGTGGGGTTATTGCGAAACTAAAAGTGGGGAAGAGGGAAGCCATGTGTACTACCTTGAGCTTACTAAATGAAAAAGGGTCAGATAGATGTAATTAATAAAAGAAATATTAAATACATTTACGGCTACAAGTATGCATTTGTGTTATGCAAGCTGTATTCATGTTTTAAGTGTGAGGTGGTCCATATTACTGCTGAGGAGATGCATGTCTGCTGTTTATTCATATTAACATACACAATTCCTATTACAAGTGTTAATGATATGTATAAATAAATGTAGCTCCTTTATGCTTCTTGTGTTCATACTTGCTGGGCTTATGTTCATTGTTAATTACTGAAATTGCATCCTTGGGACTAATCTTTGAAATAAATGCAAGTTCTCCAGTAGATTTGTCCCTGTCCCACATAATTTATCCATAAAATCTTAATGCACAGTATCTATTTGTCACTTAGAAATAAAGTGCAGAAAAGTAAGCCATTCCAAAACAGCTGGAGGATCACGGTGTGAATAAGTTGAGCAAATGAGCCATATGTATGAGCCAGCCTGCTGTTCAGAAGCCCTTTTTATTTGCTTTTTCTTATGTGTCTAAAATACTTATTTCCAAATATAAATGCAAATTCAGGGTCATGGATAGGATATTATGCTGAATTTTGGTAAGGACAACATTGAAATGATGAGAAGAAATATGCTGCTGTAGTAAATCTGGTAATATCATTTTTCAGATGACAAATTCTGCAGTCTGAAACTTTCCATTAACATATGATATTTTGGGGAATATTGGTTATTCCTTTCTAGTTAGCAGACGATCAGGTGGAAAAACAACACATACACACACAAACAACATGGAGAGCTTGACTCAATCTTGTTACTCCCCCCCCCCTCCAGTTTCCCAAAGAAACTAGCACTTTGCTAGGATAAAATCACTCTAGAAATATTTAGAGTAGAAAAAGGTATCTTTATTTACGGTTACCATTTGTAGTTATAGTCAGTAGAATAAAAAAAGAGGAAGGAGAAAAAATGGAGTCTCCACCACATGGAAGAGACATCCATGCTTCATGCTTATTCAGAGGTCAGGGAAAGAAGGAGTATTGACAACAAAGACAATGCAAACAGGCAAACAGGAAGAGGGGCAGGGGCTTGCCTGAAATGCCAAAGGCAGAGGACTATCTAGGCTGTAAAAGCCCCCTCTCACTGGTATCCAGTGTTAGTGCCTGCAAGATTGTTATTTTTCCAACATTATACTCTGAGAAAAGTAGAATATCTGAATAGTCTTATCACTCTGCAGGTATCTGGAACAGACCTGCAAGATGCGACTCATGAAGAAGCTGTGGAAGCAATCAAAAATGCAGGCAACCCTATTGTTTTTGTTGTTCAGAGTCTGTCTACTCTTCCAAGGGTGAGTCATCTCTTTTTGGTTTTGAAGTTGAGCTATAACATTTTGCAGCATTAGCTTCATATTATCTAAGTTTCTTCCAGGCAAATGTATTCCCTGAAGATGTTGGCTTCCAATGAAAAAGCTGCATGTTGTATTTTAGTTACTTAATTTATATCTTATTTGTCCTAGAACTAAAGGGCTCAGAGCAGAGGGGGTGGGAGGGAAATAGAATGAATACAATATCAGAATTAAAATTAACACATGCCTGCTCACTTTGAGAAATTAAAAAGTAATACAAATAAATTTATCTAGGTAAATCTCTAGGGCAGGTGTTGTAAACTGGTCCCCTCCAGATGTTTGTCACTATGGCTCTGATCTGCTTTTGTCAGCACAGACAGACATTGTAGAAGGTTAGTCCCCAAGAATGTGTCATCATTCCATGCTCTACATGCACAAATTATAAAAGTCAGTTACCATTAATCATTCCATGTAAGACTTAATAAACTGTTGTTGTCATGAGACTGCCCACTTAGCCACACTACCCTTAGCTTTCCTGGTGTGGGCACCTTCCAGGAGGGTGATGTGTGTTGCTGATTGGGAAAAGCATCCTGTCTCGCCCTCTCCTCCCAATACATCTGAGCCTGCTTGCTCCTTCGGTGCTTTAGGGCCTTACCAAAAATCACAAGGTTGATTTGTGTGAACCTATTAACCAACCCCACAAGGTAAGACTGACCAAAACACCTACAAAAGACTCAAAATCTCAAGTGCAAGGCACCTTCTTCAGTACTCCAACCCCTTTCTTTCCAGAGTGACCACACATCTGAGAAAAAAATTATTAAAAGATGTTGCAAATGCAGATTTAGAATTTCCAAAAAGATTAAAAAGATGCAAAGCAATTTCCATTATGAACAAAACACCAGGCTTGAAAAACAGCTCAGGATCTTTTAAGAAACAAGGCAAATTCAGAGTACTCTCCACATAAAATAATAAACCTCTCCTAGCACTTACAATACATGTAAAGTGTAGTATAATTCCAAGATGTGTGCAGAGAGTGGCAGAATAAATGGCCAGCATAATATTTTCCTAAGCAAAGTGAAACTAAGCAAGCAACAGCTTGGCTACAGCTTGTGGACTCCGTGGCCTGTTCTATCTTTATATCCATCATCCATTATCAATATTTTGATGCTCTCCATCAACCACATTCCCAGATGCTTGGAACCTTCTAGCAGGGAGTAACTTTTTCCAAAATAACATTTCTTATCCCCCCCCCCCCCTACACACACACACTCAAGTCTGGCTAAAACAGGTTCCTGCAATTAAGGTACTATCAGAAGAGTTGGATTTGGCCTTGAACATATCAATCAGACATGGACTCTTTTCCTTTTTTAAAAAATTAACAATCAGTTTCTCTCTCCTTCCTTTTTTCTAATTCAGGTACTTAGCACCCATTTTCACGGAGCAATGGTAATTGATTAACCTTCTTCTTGCCAGATTCCCTCCTTTCACCATGATCTTCACAATGTCCATAAGTGTTTGAAACAATTAAAGTCATTGAATAGAACCATAGAATAATGGAGTTGAAAGAAGCCTATATATTCCTCTAGATTAATTACCTGGATCCCCACCCCATGAGTCACAGACACTCTCCTTTCATTTTTAACAATTTGCCTCCCCAATATCTCTGTGCCAGCTCTTGCATTGTAATAAAAGATTTTTCAACTTTCCAGAGTCCAGGGGGGAAATTACTGTATTTCAATCCTGTCAGTGATGACTGCCCATAAGCAAAATTCCCACAAAGGCTGTCAGGATCCAAGCCTTACTTAAGAAACTCTGTAAAGAGATTTACAATTTCTATATACATTTATTACTTTTTCATATTTTTGAAATTGCAACATTTCAAATTGAACAGTACGCTATTCTGATTGGCTTTTTATAATGCCAAAATCCTGGTACCAAAAAACAACAACATAATGATCAGGTGGTCAGGGAAGAGTTTGCAGTTACCTTAGGACTATCAGCAATATATACTGGTGTCTTGTTTGCAGGGAAAAAGAAAGTTACTTTTTTGATTACCATATATCTCCCAGAATCCCCAAGCTAATAATGGCCTGGCTGCCTTGAGGATTCTGGCAACGGTAGTGTAATAAGTAATTTTTCTTAGCATTGCTGTTTATTAATCGCAGACTCATTTTCCAGGTAAAGATCTTGAGACAGTCAAAATATCCCTGTCTGTGTAAAGAGGGACGTGTCAGTAGGCTTGATGGAACATAAAGCTTTTCAGAAGCTTTAAACAGAAGAGTAAAACAATCCAATGCACATACTTGGCTGCCATGGGATGCCAACTGAGCAAGGGATTGCTCTGTTCCAGGGATGGGGAATAAAAATGGGTATGGAATACAGTGGTGCCTCGCTAGACGATTACCTCGCAAAATGGTTTATTTGCAAGGCGATGGGTTTTTGCGATCGCTATAGCGCTTTGCAAAACAGTTTTCCCTATGGGTGATTTTTGCTAGACGATGTTTTGTTCTGTGCTTTGCACGACGGTTTTTTTCCGGGACTATTCGCTAGATGATGTTTCAGTCCGTGCTTTCCAAGACTTTTTTTTTCAGGGACCGTTTTTCACAAGACGACAATTTTGACAGCTGAGTCTATGCTTCGCAAAATGGGGTTTTTAGGGACGGTTTTTCACAAGACAGCGATTTTGACAGCTGGGTCTATGCTTCGCAAAACTGTTTCTCTATGGGTGATTTTCGAAAGACAACGATTTTTTCCCCAATGGAATGCATTAAATGGATTTCAATGAATTCCAATGGGGAACCGCATTTCGCAAGACAATGTTTTCACAAGACAGCGATTTTCACGGAACGAATTAACATCATCTTGCAAGGCACCACTGTATACTGATAATAAGGTTGGTTGTCTGCAGCTCTGTACAAGATTTTGAACTATTACTGCCACTGCTTGCTATTATTTTTATGAGCTGTATTATAAACTGCCAAAGATTTCAGAGACATGTGCGGTAATTAAAAAAACAAATGGAAAAATTAGAGTAAAAACTGTATAATTCATAGTAAAAATGTAAAAGATTTTGTTTCTGGTTTCACTTATATGTAATGGGTTACACTTTGGCTGTGCTGTGCATTTGGCCGTACTACATTAAAGTGTTTTTGTTTTCTGCAGATAGTTTCCATGGTAAATTCCAAGAAAAGTAAAGAGCACCAAGAACAAGATGCAGCAGGAGAGGCTGAAAAGGTATTGCAAATTTAATAAGTCGCTATCCAAAATCAGATGTATCTACCAATGTATCATGTAGAAATCGTTGTGCTACTTTAAACCATAAATTCTTTTGAAAGGAAGCACACAGACAAGATCTGAAAATTTCCCTTTGGGGGGGGCATTTTATGGCATTTCAAATAAAAATATTTCACAAGCTGTACTTGACCTTTACTGCTGTTCATGATGTCAGACGCAATAATATAGTAGCTGGTTAATTAAAGAAACAAAAATGTAGGTTAGTGCTCCTATTTGGGTGAGTCACTGATCACTAATTCGGCTTCACAAGAGGGGATATTATTATACATTTATAATTTGATTCTGTGTGTTTCTGTACAGAAGCAAGTCCTATTACATTTTACACGATTTACTCCCAAGTAAGTTAGGAAAAGATTATAGCCTTGAAGGGATGTTAGAGAGGAGTCTAGGCTTTTTATGTAAAGTTAATTGAAATGATTGTGTAGACACGTCTCTGATTCATTCTTAGTTCTGAAGTCTGCCACAGTGAAAGTGGGACAAGAACACCATATTCTGGCATATTATACACTAGCCAAAATTCTGTTGCTCAGCATAGTGAATTGCACCAGGCCAGCCCCATTTAGTCAACGGGGATTTGGTGAACCAACTTCCTCATACATTTCACTTATTTAAATGAGACTACTCTAACTACAACTCTCTATGCTAAAATAAGTCACAGTTAGAGTAGGCCTGTTTAAATCAAGAGAACTCAGAGAAGTTGACTCACTTAATCCTCATTGACTTAATGAGCCTACTGTAGAGCAATTTACTCTTCTGAGTAACAGGATTTTGGCTAATGGATTTTACATCAGTGCTTGATATTCTTAACCTTTTAGATTCATAACTTGTCCCTTCTGGCTGGTGATGTGTGACTGAAGCAAAAGCACCCACTCCCCCAAAACAGCAAAACAGAAAAAAAATTAAGTGCAAATAGCAGCAGGTTTTCACCTTTCCTTACCCACTTGGAAGGCCAAGTATATTTTGAAAGGTTATGGAAGATGCACAAGTTTAAACTGTGACTCCTCAGTAGGTAGTGGAGGTTAGAAAACTCATTTCTACAAACTCCTTTTCTAATGTACTGCTGAAGATCAGTAAGGCTACAGCCAGATGCCATCCTTTGACAGTGGCTACAAAGGTCAGGTAAAGAATTTCTAATGCTGTCTTTCCTTGGACATGGCAGAAATAGGCAAAATGCTACCTGGGAATTAAGTCCATCAGGTAGACAGAAAGAGCAAATCTGCTTGTATAATTAGAATATTTGGTTTGCATAATATGGAGATGGTCACACTGACATTTAGATCTGGTGTTCAGCAACCTCAGTGAAAACTTACATGATCTTGTCTTATTTCTTATCTTTTTCATTTGTTTAATCATGTTCAGTTTCTAGCCTTTTGATATTCCAGATTCTATTCCCCAGCAATTTGCAGTTCATGAACTGAGGTCGTAATCCTTCTGTTAATTTGAAATGTATCCCTTTTGTTGTTGTTATAACCCGTAAAATGGCTGGCTTCCATCAGTATGTGCATCTTTGTATGTAGGTTGTTGAGCTATAAGAGAAAGCTTAACATTTAAACACCTACTGGCCAAAATCCTGTTGCTTAGTGTAAGCCAAATTGTAACTCAGTCTGTTCCTTCCTGGTAAATAAAGCATCTCGGCTGCACTTCTTAGCATGCATATGCATGCAACAAACCGGCATACACATGCCGCCTAGAGTGGTTGAAATAACCAGA